AGTGAGACGCCCCCAGGCGACCCCAACCTGCAGCCACTGAGCCACCCGCGTCGCACCTCCCCAGCTGCCCCCGCTCTGCTCCAGCCCTCGACTGGCAGAGCAGGGCAGTTTTGGCTATGACATTTTGGGCTTGTGACACCACAGTAGTAACAGGGCTAGCAGGGACGGGGCCAGGTGGACCGGCCTTTCCCTCCCGCCCCCTCCCTCCTTGTCTTGAGTCGTCTCTTCCTCCAGCATTTACAGAGGCTTTGAGCCGGGCTTTTCTGTCTGACGAGGGGCCTCCTGAGAGCCATCGGAGGCCAGCTGTCTGTCTACCAGGCCTGAGCGGGCCAGGCCCCGGATAGCTGGTGACCACAGGGGCATCTCCAGGGCCCACTGTTGCCCATGTGGATGGGGGTGGGGGCTGAGTCGGGAAAGTCTGTGGGGACTGACAGAGGTATCTTCCAGGCCAGACATGGACCTCTAGCCTTGTGGGGATCTTATCACATCCGGCCACCGTGACAGCATTCCACGTGGCAACATTCAGCCACTGTCCCTGGAGGGCCTGCCAAGTGCTGTCTGTGCACATCCTCGTCCTACCTCTGGCATGGAGTGGCTGCTGCGTTGCCATGCTGCCCTTCACATCGCACTGGCATGGGGACTCTGAACGTGAGACCACCCGGACGCTCCCCCTGGAATCTGTTCCCCCCTCTGCTGCTGGGGGCAGCAGCCTGACTCAGGCACTGGGACCAGAGCTATCACATGACCAGGCTAGCCAGTCGTAGGCCGGCTCCTGGACAGGGACGGGGGCGTCGAGTCGATCACCAGCGTTTGCTAGAAACGGAGAGTGACGGGCACAGCCAAAGGAATCCAGGATGCAGGGTAGAGGCGAGGGGAGCGGATGGCTCGGGCCCAAGCTGAAGCAGTGGTGCTGGCGTTCGAGTGCAGTCCCCGCCCCACCCCTACGGCCAGTGGGCATCTTCCACCCCGCAGGCCCCGAGACTGGCACCCCTTCGCTCAGTCACCTGAGACTGGGCAGCAAGAGCCGCTCCCAGCACCTGATGAGTGACGGCATCTCCCTGTGACCTGGACGTTGCCAGCATCTTTCTCCAAACCCTAAGCGTCGACACCTCTCCCCATTTAGGAAGTCATCTCCCTCAACTTCTGGGCAGTGACAGAACCCGCTCCCCACCCCCGTCTGCCTGGATGCCCCTCCCCCCGATGCTGGCTGGTCTGCTTTCCTCTCCGCTCTGTGGACCGCTGTTCCTGGGGAGAGGTCAGCTTCCTCGTCCCGCTCCTGGGCACTTGCACACCCGTCTCTGCTTCCCTGAAAAGCCACAGCTTTGAATCTCGTATTGTCACACCTCACCCCGGGGCCCCCCTCATTTCCTGAAGTCTTCGCTCCTGGTCCTCGTCCCTTTCCCCGCCCACTCCTGTGGTAGGTAGTTCTTGGTGATTTCAAAGTCCACACGCCTGACTCTTCAGCAGGCTGGACTTCCTCTCCCTTTGTGGTCTTGCCACTTCCCGCTCGGCCACTGCTTCCCTGGCCGCGGTCCTTTCTCATAACTGCATTTCCTGCACGGCCTGACCGAGGCTCATGCTCTGACCACTTCCCAGCCTCGCTGCTCAGCCCCGGCCCTCCCCTCCAGCCCCTCTGTGATGAGCCCCAGGCTCCTGCTTCCTCTTCCCCTGACGTCACTCCCCGTCATCCACCGGCCGCTGTGTCTGCTTCTCTCTTTCTTCATCATCCTCACTTGACCAAATCATAACCGGAGTCCAAGCCCAGCTATCTTTGTGGCTTAACACCACCCTCTAACCCTTTCTCATAGTCGGCGGGTGTGGTTGGTGCTGGTGGCTTCTCTGGAGCCCACTCGCACAGCTGCTGTCAGCCGAGGGTGAGCGGGGCTGGAGGGACTGAAGTGGCAGCATACGCGGACACGGGGGGCTGCATCGCTGGGCCACGTGGCTCTCTGCCACACGCCCCCCCACCCCCCGCCTGAGCCAGACCGGCTTCCTGACGTGTCTCAGCCAACACACCAGGAGGGTGAAGTAGACCCTGAGGGTCTCTTGAGGCCTGGGTCGTGGGACATACACAGTGAACCCTTTGCCACATTCCATCGGCCAAAACAGGTCACAGGGCCAGCCGGATTGGAAGGACGAGCCACAGGGTGCCGTGGCTGTGTCTCTGTCATCGCACTGGTCCTCTGACATCTCGCAGCCACATGTGTCAGAGAGGCACCGAGCCACTCGCCGGCCATGGCCCGTGGGTCTCAGGTGGCCCCGATGTGGCCCAGGCATCATCACGCGTCCCTGTCCAGTGCCCAACCCGGACAGCTCCCGCACACCCGGGTCCCTCTCCTCAAGCCCAGGGTGCCTCTTCCCTGCCCTGCTCTCATCAGAGCCGAGGATGCAGATCGTCCCTTCCGCCACGCTCTGCATGCCGCTGCTGACCATGTTTCCCTAGGAACGTCGCCCTCTGGCACGTCGGGTCCGACAGACGTCTACACCACATTAACTCGTAGCTTCAAGAATGTCAGCCAAGGCACCTCCAGGAGAGTTTTGAGGGCGGAAGCTCCTCGTGTCCGATTTTCAAGTTTCGGGTAATTTTCTCAGCACTGGGAACCGTAGCCTCTCCCCCCATCTCCCCACCTGAGCCTCCCCTTCCCCTTTGGAGTGGGAGGTGTGGCTTGAGACCTCATGGGGCTTCAGGCAGAAATCCAGGTTCAGAAGGCGTGAGCTTTGTGCCACGGGCAGTCCTGCCTGCGGTCAGCCTATGGCAGGCCAGCAGCCGAACCCGCCGGCCCTTGTGCCGCTGGCAGCCCAAGCGCAGGGACCCTGTGGGTCAGCATCCAGCTGGCTATGGACCCCTACCCAGTGGGCTCCTTCCTTCCCCTCGCCTCGCCGGGTCTCAGGTCCTGTGGTTTGGACTAAGTCCAGAGCCGCCACAGCCAGCTCCTCCCTCCCTCCAGGCCACCCCTGATGCAGCAAAAGGAATCCTTCCCACCTATAGCCCCTCGACCTCCCCTGAGGGCCAAGCCCCCCAGTCCAGGGTCTGTGTTGGTGGGAACCAGGTGCCAGGCTGCTTGAGTGGCCCCCTGGGCCTGCTGGTCAGTGTGGGAACAGCATCCTCCTCGGCCCCATACCTGCCCTCCTCTGTGGAGACAGCAGTCACAGGGCTGTGGATGGGGGCGGTGGGGCGAGGCTCTGGCAAGAGAAGGGCAGGGTCCAGGACAGCGAGGCTGTGGCTGAGGTCAGGAGGTGCCCACTGCCCAGGGAGGAGAGAATGAATGTGAGAGGGAGGGTCCTGCTTTGACAAACCCAGGGCCTCCGAGGACACATTTCCTGGTCGGCCAGAGAGTAACAAGCCCTGGGCTACTTTCTCAGAGTGACCTTTGAGCTGTGACCAAGGGCCATTAGCCAATCAGATGTCATCCAGGAGGATGGTCTTGGGAGCCTTGACTCCCAGATGGAGAGGCAGGGAAAAGGGTTGAGGTCTGAGTGAGAGCCGGTCTCGTGGAAGGCGTGAGACCCACACCTGTGCGAGGCGGGTCCCTGCAGCCCCATCGGGAAGCAGGGGTTCCGGGGACGAGGCAGTGCCACGTGCGGCCGGGCCTCGGCGGCTGAGCGCTGCCCAGGCTCACAGTCAGCATGAAGCGCTGTGTGGTCCTCCAGACATCGGAACTGAGTAGAGAGATGGAGCAAAACAAATCGGTTAGGGTCGCGGTGCTGGTTTCACGGGTGCTGCACGTGGGGACTGTCGAACTGCACAGTGACTGGCAACCGCTGATCTGTTTCTGGTCTCTGTGGATTTGCCTGTTGTGGGTATTTTACATAAATAGAATTACACAATACATGGCCTTCTGTGTCTGGCTTCTTTCACACGTAGCATAGTGTTTTCGAGGTTTATTCACATTGAAGCAGGTGTCAGTGCTTCGTTCCTTTTTTACGGCTGCATAATACTCCAGGTAAGGGTAGGTCACGTTTTGTTCATGCATCCGTCTGTGGGTGCCTTTGGTGGTTTCCACAGTTTCTACCGTTTGTCTGTTGTGAATAGTGCTGCTATGAACATGTGCGTACAAGTATTTGTTTGAACACCTGTTTTCGATTCTTTTCGGTCTACACTTAGGAGTGGAATCGCTGGATCACGTGAGACTCCGTTCAGCATTCTGAGGAATGACAAGACTGTTTCCCGCAGTGGCCGCACCATTTCCCATTCCCATCAGCAGTGCATACGGGTTCCAGTTTTTCTATGTCCTCCTCAGTATCTGTTATTGACATTTTTTGTGATTATTATAGTCATGCTAGTGGGTATGACATAATATCTCATTATGGTTTTGATTTGCATTTTCCTAATGACCAATGATGTTGAGTATCTTTTCATGTGGTTATTGGCCATTTATATATTTTCTATGGAGATAGGTCTATTCAATTCCTTTGCCCAATCTCTGAGTTACATTTTTGTTGCTGACTTTTAAGAGTTCTTTGCATGTTATGAGTACTAGACCCTTATCTGACGTATGATTCGCAAATATTTTCTCCCATTTTGGGGGTAGTTGTCTTGCTTTCTCTGTAACCTTCACGAGCTCCTTTTTGTAGAAAATAAGATACATCTCATTAAAAAATCTGAACAAATATTGTCCTAAACCAATGGTAATTATCTCTGTGTAGTTTGGATTGTCACTATTTTATGTTATTTCTCAACTGTGACAGTGTTTTCCAAGTTTGCTAATTTTGCAAGTTGATAAATGGAAAGCGAAACTTTCCAATCATTACCTCACATTCTTAGGACTTTTGTGCGCCTTGTAAAGGACTTGAAGTGCTGGACGTTTGGGGGGTTTCTGACCGCACACTCCTCGCAGGGCGCGGTTCAGTCCTGTGCCCCTGGGCCTAGCCCAGGGTGGGGGTGGGGCGGGGCGCGCGCGGCCCCCCTTCATTTTTCACTGTTTTGTTTCTGCCGCTCGCTCGCCGGCTAGCCGTGGGAAACGGAAACCGAAACGGGAGGTGAATTCCGCGCCTGCGAGGCGGACTCTCAGACGCCGCCCCCTGACGTGGGCGCCCGGGCTCCTTAAAAAGGGCTGAGGCGCCAAGGCGCGAACCAGACGCGAGCGCGCACAGAGGCAGCGAGTTCGTCACCGCCTGCAGAGGACCTAGCGCCAAAGCCTACAGTCATGGTGAGGCGGGTTGACAGGTGGGGCAGGTGGGCTGGCATGCGTGGGCCCCCCTCACCCTGATAGTGTCTCCCAGGGGGGAGCACCTACTGTGCGCCAGGCAAGCAGAGCTGCCCCGAGCTGCCCAGGTCCCTGAGTGTGGTGGGGGGCAGGGCTCCTGACTCAGTCTGGGTCTCGGAAGGCAAGTTCTGCCCAGGGGCCAACTCGGAGGCCCCTCGGCGGGCATCTTAGCTGGTGAAGGGAGGCAGAGTGGTGGGCGTGGCGGCTGCTGTTCTGGAAACACCCTCGTGTGTCTCCAGAGCCTGGGGGCCCTCCGGGGTGGGTGGAGAGGACCCAGAGGAGGGAGCAGAGTCCCAGACCCCACGCTCTTGCCCGGGGCTGACGCTCCGTGCCATGCCCACAGAGCGGGGACCTGAAGGTGAAGATGCTGAGCGGGGAGTTCCTGGTGCCCCTGACGAATTCCATGCTGCTAGCGGACCTGAAGCAGCAGATCACGCGGAAGATCGGGGTGCCCGCCTTCCAGCAGCGCCTGGTCACGCACCCGGCCGGAACGGTGCTGCGGGACGGGGTCCCCCTCGTCGGGCAGGGCCTGGGCCCCGGCAGCACGGTCCTGTTGGTGGTACAGAACTGCGACGCCCGCCTGGACATTCTGGTGAGCAACGAGAGGGGCCGCACCAGCGTCTACGAGGTCCAGCTGACGCAGAAGGTGGCTGAGCTCCAGCAGCAGGTGTCCCGGAGGGAGAGCACGCCTGCCGACCAATTCTGGCTGAGTTTCCAGGGGATCCCCATGGAGGGCGAGCACCAGCTGGGGGATTACGGCCTCACGTCCCTCTGCACCGTGCACATGAACCTGCGCCTGCGCGGGGGAGCAGCGGGGCTCCGAGGGCTGCTCTGAGGGCCCCCAGTCCCTGACCCCTTGGCGATAATAAAAGTTGATGTCAAGCTAACTGGCTGCCCGTTTGCCCTCGCCCCGCCCCCAGCTCCCTCGCGCGGCCAGCGCTCCATTCTGCACGCCCCTGCGAGCTTGGGGGAGGGACGGCGGAGGGAGTAGGGCAAGGGGCCCCAGAGTCACCAGGTTCGGTTTGCTAAGTTAAGAGACAGCCTAGTAGGATCCAGTAGTGAATCTTCCCTGGATAAATTGAACATGTGTCCCACACGTTTGGAAAACTACCAAAGATGCACACCTGTGGGAGCCCTGGTCAGCCCCTGCACGACCGGTCCCCACCGCAGACAGCACAAAGACAGGAAGGCCTGCTAAGGTTCCAAAGGCCACAAAGTGAGGTCCTGGCTGGGACCAGTCCCCTTAGAAGCCTGAGGGAGTGAGGCCTAGGACGTGCCTGGGGGGGTCGGGCCTCTTGGCCCCCCCAGAACCCACCTGCCCACCCTGTCCGGGCTGCACTGGTCTGGGGAGAGGTGGGAACAGGGTCCTGAACACACACATCACCATCGTTGTGAGCTGCTGAATGGCAGCTGCTCAGAACAAATACTCCCCCCAGGAGACAGCATGGGGAAGGGGGGTTCCTCCAGGCCCTGTGGAACAACTTGTGGGGGTCACTTGATTTGGCACAAGCTACAACTGCTTCCACGCCAGGTGCTCCTTTCTGTACCAATTTCCCAAATGAGCTCATGGGAGGCAGGCTGAGTCAGCCTTGGAGACAGGCGAGATGGGGGTGACAGAACACACATGTCTCTGGGCCAAAGCCCAAGACCCTGGGGACTCTCAGACCTCAGCTTGTAGGCTCTTCAGGGAGATTTGGAGACCCAGGAGCACCCTTTCTGGTCTGTGGGGGTCTGCATCTGGGCCATAGGTCTGCCTTGCCTATGACAGATATGTGTAGACATGCAGGTGCGTGTGTTGGGGGTTCGCCTGGTGCCCGCATCATTTCCTGAGCTCCACCCTCACCGCTATGTCTCCTGCAACTTAGCGAGTGTGAACACATACCCTTGACGCTTGCGGCTCAGCCCTGCGGCTGGCTTGGGCTGAGGGGCGCGCCGCAGACCCAGCCCTGGAGGAACAGGAGGGGCCGCCTCTCCTCCCGTCGTTAGGCTCTAATTTGGACCCGCTGGACTTCAGCTCATCCCGCTAACCTAGCCCCGCAGCTGGAGAAGGGCGCTTCTGGGAGCTGGAGAGGGGGCGTGGCCATTCGTCCGCCGCGGACCGGAGACTGCCGCTGATAGACGGCAGGGGGAGCCCTCCACCCTGCCGCGGGGCCGCAGCAGGTCCGCAGACGGGGGTGGGCGGGTCTGCGCTCCGTTCTGACCAATCGCAGCAGCCCCTGGCCCGCATTGGTCCTAGCCAGCTGGGGGCGCGGTCTGCTGGGGCTGCCTCCACTCCTGGACTCGCCGGGGGTCCCAGGCCCCGCTGAGCTTCCGTCCCCAGTTCTAGCGTGGGGACCCCCATCAAGTTCCTCCCGCCGGGGGAGGAGCGCAGTTCTGCAGCGCTCGAGGGGCGGCGGGGTCCGAAATCTGGCAGCCCCTCCCAGCGGCCAAGGAACCCCCGCCGCTTCGACCCCGGCGCAGCCGGGAGCCCCTTGGAAGTCTCGTCACGTCGCCTCTAGATTATGCATTAACCCGATTTCAGCCGCATTTCCTGGGGGGGCGGGAGACGTTCGCGCGGGCGGGGGAGGGGCGTCCGTGGGAGAGAGCACAGAGAGGGCGCCCCTCGGCAGCTCCGTCCTCCCCAGCGCGG